GGTTAATAGTTTAAAAATAGCAATAAAAAATAAATCAGGGGGAAAGATCATCATGAATATAATATGAGTTGGTAGTTTAAAACAATAGATATTAAAAAACAGGTTTCTAGTGTTTTAAAAGCTGTATGATTTATGAGTTAAACTTCCAGGTCATGATAAGAACAGACAAGAAGGTCAATCTGTTATTCTAATCATTTCCTTTATTAATAACAAAAACATCTGATATCCTTCCTTAAATACATAGTCTACAATATGTATTATAATATTAGCAATACAAATTGCATAGATGATGAATTCTGGAATTAGGAATTGGCCATTTCGGTACAAAAAGGAAGTTTTTTCGTTATAAGAAATAATATACTGTCTCACATCCGAGTGAAAGAGTCCCTGATCAGAATGACTGGTGTGAAAATGATGATTATAAAATATAAACGTAGGCTTGTGGCAAGTGCGGCAAGTCTCGCAAGCGAATATGCTCACCAGCAGCTTGATAAAGAGCTAAATGTGAACTGTGAAACAAACTCTATATGATAGTTTGATGCAATATCACATTGTACTTTCATATATCTCTATTGAAACTACCTGGTTCTACATTAGGAGGCAGACAGCAAGTTTGCTTTCTAGAAGCTAAAACCAACTTTAGCATTGTTAAATTTAACTTAAATTTTACTTGGTTTATTGTGTTGATCCTTTTCAATAAATGTCACAGTAAAATTATTGGATCATCACCAAATTCAATAGTACACATCTTCATAATGATAATGACACACATACAAAAGACCAAAAAGATTCCATGGAGAATTGTAGCCTGTAGAGTGAGCACGGGTCAAAAAAGTGAAAAAAAAACGAACACGATATCAGAGTTTTATGCGACATCTCTCAAGAAAATCATCGGATCATCACCAAATTCAATAGTGCACAACTTCATAATGATATTGAAACACATACATAAGACGAAAAGATTCCATGGAGAATTTTAGCTGTAGAATGAGCAGGAGGTACATGTGAACGGATGGACTGACAGGGGCAACTACAACTAAAAATTACATTGCTCAATATAATGCATGTCTATCTAAATTTTCCCTTTTTAAGTCAAAATAGTTTTGTTCTATTTGGTATCATCTTACTTTCTAAATATCAAAATTCATCTTACAATTCTAATACAGACTAATTATAAGGAAATCATTGAGCATTGTGGTTTTAACCTTTACATTTAAAACTCATCAAGTTTCATATGCTATTAATCATACAAAACCTGACATTAGATTAGGATATAATAGAGTTAATTTCTTCCTTTATCCTGCCTTTAACTCTATACTGTGACACATTCTAACAAATTTTAATGTTAAAACCAATGTTGCTGGGTGTTGTAGCTAAAGAGCATGTCAATGCAGGTCTAATTGTGTCTTCTTTCAAGCAAATGATGAGAATTCAAATGACTCACATGTTGCAGCAGATAGCTGGCTACACCACATTATGTTCTGGTGTTTATGATATTTTGTGTGTAAAAGATAGATGTTATGTCTCATAATCCCCATTATAGCCATAACGATGCCACAATCATTTCAAAATCATTTGATCATGTAGAATTCAAGAATGATAAAGTTCATATTTACAGAATAAACAGATGTTAGCTCTAAATCCAATGAACCCAATTTCATCTAGTTTTATGACTTTGGATAAAGTAGTAGAAGGGGAAATTGTACCAGAATGTTATCTTATATGAAGAGTGTAATTATAATTCTATCATTGCCTGAATAACTATCATACTACTGTCATTTTGAACTTATAACATACTGGCCAGCTGTTTACCAATCAATGACTTCTAGTCTTAATGAACTCTTATTACCTATAATGGTTCCACTTTAAATAAACACAAGACTGAAATGTCTCTAGTTAACAGGAACTAATCAATTTATTCCAAGTCATAAAATAGAGGGGAATTTCATGCTCAACTACTTCTATCAATAATGTTTCTCTTCAGTTATCACATTAGTTGGAAACCAGCCTCATTCCAATTTTCTTTTTATTGCTGAACTTCATCCACTTGGTAGTTACCAAAAAACCATTGGTTATCATTGATTAAAATAAATAACTACATTTACACTCATCTAACAACTCTTTTCAAATAATATATTACAGAACAATAAACAGCAAATGCTGTCCAGCAAACTATTAAACTTTAGAAACATTTTTTCCCAATCCATCCAGACCCTCATTTGCCTTAAAAGTTTGCCTTGGATTGCAGGCAGCAAGCAGATGTTATTTAAAACATTTTCAAATTTTAACTGGGTCAGTTTAAATTTTGACATAATGTTCCATCAACAATAATATGTAGAACATAAAAACTTCAAATATATGACAAGTGACAAGATTTAATCAATGTATTGTTGTAACACAGACGTTTTGAATCACAAAGAAATCTTAAGTGAATATTTTCATTGAGATCTTTTATGTGACATTAGTTAGCATGCTCAGAATCGAACATGTTATACATTTTAAATCAACAGCACATAAAATCTGTGTACTGCAAACAAAAAAGAATTAACAGCATTTCTACAGAGTCGTCCTAAATGATCAGCCACTCACACACTTTTAGCAAAATATGTGTAGAAATTTTTACAGAATATTGATTAAATAATTGATTAAAGACATCATTAAAGATATTCCTAAAGACAGCCAGAGGGCATATCACTGTCATAAGGCTTGAATCTTTCAGAATTGACATCAATATTTGTCGTATTCAGAAGAAGTTGTCATAAGATCATTACAGGAATAATAAATGGAACTCTGATGGCATGGCAGTTGACAGTTACTTTAAATACTGTTTATTTAATACTTATTATTAATTCAAGTATTTTGTCAGATCAATATTATAAGTGCCTTAAGATAGGTTCCCTTATTTTCATTTATAAAAAGGAGAAGGCTAAAACTTAAATGAATAGAAAGCAAAGGTGTTCTAATGACTTGGAAAAGCACCATTTTGTCTCGCATGTCCATAATTAATTCATATTCCAATATTCAAAAAGGTTTTTTTTGTTTATCCAGACTGAACATTGACATTTATGATTGGTTAAAACTCTTCGTTATATGCAATAAGAACATAATGATATGATTAAGAATACATGATAATTCATTAGAAACACCAATTACATAATTTGACACTAAAAAAAGGAAAACCCATCCTTAAAGGGACACTGACTGTTCATATAATCGGTTAACAGCTCTACTTTAAAGTACTATTGAAGAATAATTAAAAGAAATATTCTAATGTAAGATTCTGGTTAGTTAGTTTTTGTACCTGAAATACCTAATTATGCTTAAATGTATGTCTGTTAAATCAAAATATTTGAACCAAATTCAAATTCAATATCTAGCAAGTAGATATTGTAGCATATGATTCCACTAACAAAAGATTTGGGTGGTTGAAAGGAAACCAGTTACTATTAACATGCAACTGTTCAACAGAAAACACAGCAATTTGCTAGTTCAATTATTTAATTACATGACAATAATAACAATTCTATTCATATTACATGTACATGTAATTAGCACATGGCAAAGAAATCCTGCATCAAGGTTTGTTTACTGCCTCTATTAATTTTCTGGGAGCCGCGGTGGCTCAGTGAGTTAGACGCTTGCTCACTAACCTGAAGGTCCAGGGTTCGGTTACGGCATAGGTCGAGATAATACCTTCGGGTTTTTCAATCCGGTTTCCCCCTGTCAATGATGCAGGTAAGAGGGGCTGACATGGAAAAAGCGTCGTTCGGATGGGACAATAAACCGAGGCCTTGTGTGCTACAGGCTGTGCACATTAAAGATCCCTCGACAGTTGGAAATCGAAAAAGAGCAGGCTAATGCCGCTGTCCTGGCAAAATTTCCCTCATGGCAACCTGCATGGCGTTGCCCGTCTTCATTAGTCCACAAGGTGCAGAAAAGTAGGACGTAAAACTCCATTCATTTCATTTCATTTCATTTCTATTAATTTTCTTAATTACAGTTATTTCCTTTAAATTCATGACTGTTTGTAGCATGTTCAAATCACAGTTATGCTCAGCATATTCTCTCACCATATTACAGAAAATGTTAATCTCATCTATGCTGATGAGTGATGGTGGTACACTGACATTCTCAATTTCATTATCACTATCACTATGATCCGCTAATAAATCCTTCGCACTTTTACTCCAATCAACCGGTGATTGGTCACATGTGGCATAATCGTCAAGTTCTGGCAACTTCTCGAACAAAACATTGTTTCAATATTCCCTGAATTTGCGTCTTTCCAACACCAATTTCATCGGCAATTTGTCGACCGCTTTTCCAGCTTTCGAAAAATTTATGACCTTGACCCTCTCGTTATGGTCGCTTAATTGAGTTAATTTGATCTCACGGGAGTGTAAATAGGTGGTTGCTGGTCGCTTATCAGTCGTTAATGTTAAAAAGTCATAGGGGGGAATTTATTGTGGTCGTATATTGAAGGTGATCGTTTAATAAAGGTACATTATCTGAACAGTGTCACCAAGGGACTACTTGTTATAATTATAATCTTTCAACAAGTCCAAGATGCTTAGAACCATGTCAATCAGATAATTTTTGTCTAAAACGTTGTATGACAAGTATTTGAGAAAGATTTGACAGTTAGAAATATGTTCAATTTGCTAAAGAATTATATTGACAAACATAATGTTTGAGATATAATTATATTGAACTAGTTTATGTAATAATTATAATATTTAGTGACTGCCATCATGATTGCTTCTTTGGAAGAGTAACGACAATTTGGTAGTTCGGCGGTGTTTGAAATACTTTCACTTATTTATCACCTCTGATGATTCATTTTTTTTCCTATGTCTAAAATCAGCTGTTTCAAAACTTGCCTTTTGATTGATTAAACCTTTTGAATTAGTGTATAGAAATAATCTCTGTATAATAGCCAATACAGCCCTAGTTTTATAGAAACTTAATGGGTTCTCTCTATAAATGATCATGTAACTTACCTAACAAAATCTCCATGAGAAAACTGTAGTACATGTGCTGCTAATTCAAATACTGTTTCACTGTCACATTCTATTAGACCCTGAAAACATGACATCAGATGTACATAAAGGGATTTAAAAAAGGTATTCATGCCTGTATGCATCAAAGAAACTAGCCTTTATTAACACCAGTCCAATTTACTGTTCGATATCAGTTGTTTAAGACATTAATATTTAGTTTGAATGATATTTGTTGCCGTGATGTCATAATGTTCTGAAATTACAACAGCAACATACGTCGAACTGTTAATTATGCATACAATATCAGTTTCCCCAATACACTTCCAAGATAATTCTGGATACTTTAATAGGATCATTAATCTGACAAGCTTCAAATGAATGAATTAGATGTATTAAATTCTATTATAATATTCAAGTACTAACCTTAAATACTGCTTGTCTGGCATTGAGATAAAATAACTCTATTGTGGGTGTATCACGTAATAATCCTATTGTTTCTATATAAAATCTGAAATTACATTACTAATATTATATATAACCCTAAAAGATATATTAACAAAGTTGTTACTATCAGTACAGTATAGTACAGAGATGTGTCTTAGAGGCTCATTTCTTAATTAATTTTTACTAATCACACCAACATACTATCTAAACATTACTAAACAAACCAGTACTTTGAAATGAAAAATGAATGCCTGTGCACCTTAACACCAACAATGCTTTAATTATACTCTTTATTTCAAATCTAACTTAAATGTAAGAATCCAACTTACCTTATGGAAAAATGTAAAACTAGTATACCACTCTTTTTAGGAAAGTCATGATCTAAAACACGTTTTTCTAAACTTAACCAATTATAGTGTCCACTGAAAACGTAAGGAATAATTTAAAATAATAAATCTAAAACCCAAACACCTATGATTTGTTAACAAAAGACATAGAATTTTTATAAACCTCAATTATTTACAAATATCTCATGCATAAAATAAAAAATATTTAATATTCAATAAACACCAAAAAATTATTTTATGAAATTCCTGCAGTACACCTGTTAAAAATTCAAACTAATACTTTAAAAAAAATGTTAGCAGACAAATCTTACATGGATACTTTTGACATTCAAGGATGTATGATCCTATGGTCACATGGCCTACATATTGTACCTAGTATATTGTTACTATAAATAGAAACATGACAGAAATATTACCCAATCTAAGGTATATAACAAGATTTACAAGTACTATCAAAAGGATGGTCCAAGTTTTATGTCACAGTCTCTAACTTGTTTACTGTATGATTCATGATTTAAAAATTTCACTCTTTAAAACTAGATATAATTTTGATTCACACTTTAAAAACACCTATCTTTTTTATATTTTACCAAAGAAACTTATCAAATATGAAAAAGATTATCTTTGTTTCATAGTATTTTTGACTAAACATGAAATTCAAAAATGGTAAAAAACTGCTGTTTTAGCACAATCTTATTCCAAATCTGTTACAGTGACTAAATTTAAGGAACAAAACTGAATGTTAATCAACTAATTTCAATATTAATTCAAGTTATATTATTAATTAAAGATATATTCCCAAACAATCAGCTGTTAATTCAGATTATATTACACAGACAATCAGCCATTTCAACTTATATTACACAGACAATCAGCTATTTCAACTTATATTACAAAGTCGATCAGCTATTTCAACTTATATTACACAGTCAATCAGCTATTTCAACTTATATTACACAGACAATCAGCTATTTCAACTTATATTACACAGACAATCAGCTATTTCAACTTATATTACACAGACAATCAGCTATTTCAACTTATATTACACAGACAATCAGCTATTTCAACTTATATTACACAGACAATCAGCTATTTCAACTTATATTACACAGACAATCAGCTATTTCAGTTATTTCCATTTTTATTTCCATTTTTATTTCCATTTTATTTTATTTTCAGTTAATTCCAGTTATTTTCTTAAACAATCAGCTAAGTCATATATATTTTGAAGACAGTTTGTTGATACCCATTACATGTATTTTTATAACTCTGTCTTTTAAAGAACCTGTAAGAGTTATGTCCCATTGTAAATAATTAATTGTAATATAACTAAAGTAAAATAGTACATTATATAGGTACTTACGTATCATCAACAAAGGCAATGCCAAAATATTGTTTTTCTTTTAATCTAAAATGTGATGATACCATGTCTAAAAGATCACTTGTGTATAACTTGGGCTAAAATAGAGTTAAATTGTAAGACATAAAACTCCATATCATTTTTCATTTTTATAGTCTCTTGATTGATATAGAAGTACATCTTTTTTTTTTTAGATTCTATACATTTCGTTTTCTGCTTTTCTGTTTTTGATTTCGCTTATGCATGAAGTACAGAGAGATTTTCAGTATAATCTATCCATCCAAGCAATTTTGTTTTCTCTGATACGCATCACTGACAGGCTTACATCAAGTTGAAAAATTCAAAAGCATTAACAAAGTCTATGTCAGAATCAAGTGAAATACTTTCATGTAAGAACTGACTTACCTATACAAAACAAGCGTATGTTTCTTGTAAAAGAAAACATTAGTGTAACCTTTTTTCCCATTACAAGGGCATGGTAGACCACAGTAGCTGGAGACTACACTACACATTCATTACATATCAGTGTAGTAGTACTTGTAAGTAATTGCATGTAAGGATAACCACTTATAAGATAAATATCTGGTGCCTATTGTACTGATAGTCTTGAATGGTTGGCTGACATTAATCAAGTTATGTTGTCAAAATGCCAGTAATGTTATTAGATCAGAGATTGAAGGAAATCTATAATATCCTGTCCTGTATTTCCTGCTTATTTCCTTCAGTATTTTTTTCAGTTTGATGAGAATAATAAAAAATACAAGTTACCTGAATGACTATGTCCAGTCTCCTTTCATCCAATAATACAACTTGGCTCTTTCGGCCATCGCTCATCTGAAAAATACATTAGAATCATCATTTAATACAAATTTTCAATCAGAATTAAGATTTCTGGAATGATTCAGTCATCAGAACAATAGTTAGTCAATTTGATATGTTAAAGTTATGATTTGAGTTCATGTCAACCAACACTAACATTAGTATTTAAGTGCCTGAAAATGGAAAGTATTGAATCAAATACTTGAAACAATGACAAATATTTCCAAAACATTTACTCGTCGGACTAAACAATCAAGCCATGGAAACGTTGATAGTAATTAAAGACAGAATACAATAAGCACATAGAAATAATCTTCAGTATTCAGAAAACAAAAAGTAATATAAAAAAAATCAAATTCAAATTAATAACATTTTCACAAAAACAACACACAATTCTTACCCTATGAAAACTCATTGTTTAATGATAAAAATGAAATATTGAATAAGAAGATATAAAAAGATATCCCAGATCAGGTGAAGAAAGTTTTACCCCAGTAAACTATTATTAATAACAAGGACAAGAGATTCAACCCAGATGTCAACATTATGCTTTCAGCGACATTTAACATTTTATACCATGAAATTCAATCTCATTCAAAATCTATTATTAGTTCATCTTGTACATGAAGGAATATCAACATTGATTTTGTATTATCACTGCTTCAGTCTGGAAGAAAGATGTTCAAAATAAAAACAAAAGACTTAGACCTGGCAATCCAAAAAGACAGATTCTAGTGAAAAGTTCATATTCTGAAGAGTTAAAAGTAACTTAAGCAAATGTCAATAAAACAACATGTCAATGAAAATGTTATATAACTGGTGAAACGGTTCCAATGCTTTTTCACAAGTACATGTATATGCAATGGTAAGATACTGAAAATATACTTGACAACACAGAGCCATTTTCAATATCCTTCATCACAATACATTGAATTCCCAGTCAATTTATTCCAGAGTTTATCTGCTATCTACTGAATACACGAATTTTACATTCCCCAGTAATGTCTACATCATATCAGACAAATAATAATACACATTATCATTCAATAATGATTATAAATATATGAGTTAAAACTACTGTCATCTGTTGAAATAACTGTGTTATATTGACTTCAATTCAACTCTACCTAGATTGTAGTCTGAAACATCTGCCTCTACTTCAGCCGCTGATGGATATTTTGATAGTTGTCGGTCGGAGTCAGAAAAAATATGCCCTGTTTAATGGGGATTTACCATACCTCTGAAGATGCATTTTTAAATTTCAATTTAATTATTTTTTGATTTTAAATTATCTTTATGATGACTGTAGTTAAGTGTTGGGCATAATCGTTTTGTGACTCTTTGAACTTTTGTCTGCGCACTCAGTTTTAGATCAGTTTCATTAAAAAATAACTTTGATGGAACCAGAGACATGACATAAATGGTGTGAGGGGAAAATGATGGTATGAATGAACTAAAAATATTCATCTTTCCAAATATATCTTGGTTTTGTAGATCCGAGGTGACCAAATAGGTTTTAAAACCCTGCCTCTGTGGAAAGTCCTCATTTAACATGGCTTATTTTTTATTCTCTAGACCAGCAGACATCTGTTCAAATAGCTATGAAATGGTGGATTAGAGACAGATGTTTCGGTCTACCTGACTGTAATGAGTACTGTGCTGTATTCAATGGTATTTGAGGTAAATAAAGGATGCAGTAACAATAGAATATTTAAAGATTGGAATGAAGGCATACATCTCAACATTCCATTCTATAAAAACTCTATTTCACTTGTTTTATTAGTACGTAACAACCAAAGATTCTCATCGCTTTTGTTTTGGTTCTAGCTTTGTTAAAGGATGTGCTCTGAAAGAGACTAGTGCCTTTAAAGTATGAAAGTTCAACTTCAATACAGAAGGCTTATCTACCAGTTGTATTTGAACATTGAAAACTTGTGGTCAACCAGAAAGGCTATGCTCCAAGCAACCAATTTATTGGCAATATTTACTTTAATCTCTTAACCCTTTAGAATCTGTATAATGTACTAATTTTGAACAAAATTAACATAATTGTACCTCTACTTCATTCACAAATATTATTTCCATGTATTTTGGCTTATACAAAATAGCCCACAATTAAATACTGTGATAGTGCCACAGACAGTTCAATATGTAGAATTTAACACAAAGACTATAGTAGTAGATATCATAGTTATTATGTTATCAATTGTATGTCTAGTAGGTAGATTAGATATCATATCATAGTAACACTACATATTACTACTTAATACCTGTTACATATATATATCACATTCTTTCACCTAGTCATACTAATTAAAAACATAATTGGCACATTCCACTTATTGTTATAGACTCTGTTATGATTATCATAAGTAGAGCAAAGCTAGGTAAAACCTTAACATCAGGCTATACCCTTTGCAAAATATAATGTGCAAATGCCAAGTTCAAATTCAGCATTAGTAATATCTAATAGCACACATTGAAATAAACTTTTAGAATACAGGTTTTAAAGTAACAAGCTTAAAACTGAATACAGCCTGTTTTCTAGAAAGTAAAGACAAATCTGTTTGGTTAGAGTCTTGAAGAGTTTGAGCAATGTTTTGTCTTCTATATTAATAAGGACTTAAATTCTGACACTTATAGGTGGATATTTTTCCATTTAACATAAAACATTGAAATCAAAGAAAACCTAAAATATTGGAGAGATTCCAGGGTTTGAGGTCTTGCCAGTATCTGGCAAAAGTCAATACGGTTTTTATTAGGTGTCTGGATAATCATAACATTTACACAATGAGAAGAAGGTTATCTAAACATTGAATTGTCAGAATTTCTTTTATCAATTATAAAATATAGGCGAATCAAGAAAAATCATCTTCACCATCATTCTAGACAACTTGTGTCCATTCACAAGCAGATTTCTTTCAATTTGGGCATTAGAAAGAAAGCTGTCAAACTAATACATTTGCATATTTATGTTCATTGATTAAAGGGATGCGGCATGTTGGGGGGTATATCCCTTTATATATATATCAACAATACACATGTAAATAGTCTTCAGGAATACTAAAAAATACTTCAAACTAGGAATGTTAATCAATATTTCTATATATATATATATATATATATATATGTCTTTTCTATATATCACAAATGCGGTTCTGGAGACACATGGTCAAAAAAAAAAATGGCGCATCTGTCCCTTTAATCCATTAGTAATAATGAACAATTTACAAAGTTCCAAAAACATCTGTCAAGATCAACTTCAGGACGTCGTTTCACATTATGTTTTAGATATATATTTGAGCCTGTCACATGTCATTCAAAGTGGTCATCTACAGTGTAATCTATATATATTGATGGTGAATCTATAAATGATTGACTATAATACTCACCAAATGCATGTTCAATAATCGACTAGCTCTTCTTCTTAGAGTCATTATTTAATTATTAATGTTACCAGTCATAAATATAGCCACACATAGCATCACATCCAAAACAAAAGATTACAAAGAGGAACAGCACTGCAGGAAATACTTAAATACACTCATTGTCTTTGTTTTACCCTGATAATTCTAAATTATCCTCAATTATATGTCAATGTAAAAATTAAATACAACACTTAATTATTATCAAGGAAGTTCATATATAAACCCTCTTCATAAAATTAGTATACAGGATATATAGTTGATTTAAAATAAATGAACTTTAATATCCTTAATTAGGCAATGTGAACAATCCAAAACGGATAGATGATGAGTTCATCATGACATGTCATGTTTAAGAAATTCTTTGGAATTTCTGGATCCAAATCCAAGAAAGTCTGTGATGGTTATAGATATATCACCATTGGCATGACATCAAATATTTTTTATACAACAAATTTGCCACTAATCCTGAACATTCAAGATACAAGGGTATGTCATTCTTCTTGCACCCATATTATGTTAACATTCAAATGGCTCATGAAACAATGCCGAGTTGTCATCAAGACTCTGATTTGCATGACCACTGACTTTACAATGGCTGTTATACATTCAAATCCAGGACTGATTTATCAAGCGCCAATGTTATGAAAACAAAAAGATTAAGGATTCAGCATGTCTGATGGAAACCTGGTTGTACATCAATATATATCCCTTCTAGTCATTGACATCTAATTAAATCCATATAAGGCAGGTCTGTAGGATATAAATTAGGTCTGTTTTGATTCATTATCTGTCAGTTATAATCCAGTTTATTAGTATTAACAATACACACATTTTACTTTAGTCTTATTCCATACACAACTAATATCAAAAAAACTTTCTTTATGAATCTGGTCCTCATGTATACGTTTCTGAAAATTTCACAAGTTTTCTTATCCTGAATTGTTAGATGATGCTTTGTGATCTAGGTCATTGCTTACTGTTAAAATGCTCTTTTATATTACCAGTAGTAACTAAAACTCAGCCTAAAAACATTATCAAATTCTCATTTCAAAATATCAAACATATTGTTTGTATACTATTGTTACAATGGCCACCATCTTGATCAAATTATATCATCACTTCCCTGGAAGTTTCTTTCACTCCTTATATACTCAAATTTAGGTCTATTGTTTATACCTTGTATTTCCTTCCTGTACCTAATATTTAAATATCATTATATCAAAAACATACTTGGTAATATAAATATTTAAAATAACACTTAAAGATTTCTAAAACAAGGCTAAATATTTATATAATTGTATATATGATATATAATATAAATTCCATGTTATATGCATAATTACACCTGCATGAATATTGAAATGTCATTTTCCACATCTGTTCACATTGTCATGGTGTATATATTACTATAGATATCCATATATACAGCTACATCCACTATCATACACTTGTATCCATTTATTTATTTAAAGATACATAACTTGATATTTCAATTACATACACACAATTTAATATCCTTCCACATCAAGCACAAGACAGACTTAGTGTGATATATCAGATCCAATAAAAAAAAGGCATATCATATTG